TTCTCTTGTTTCTGAATATTGTAGGAACTCTTTAGTACTTCACTATTAACCCTGATGTGAGATTTTGTCATGTTCATATAATTAAAAACAAGAAGAGATCAATAGTTTCTTTACACTTTTATTCAATACTGGTCTATTCTTATTTTTTTGATAGTGCTGGGGATCCAACACAAGGCCTTGCAAGTGCTAGGCAAGCATTCTACCACTGAGTTACATCTCAGCTCTTAATTTATTTTTTAATATTTTTATTAGTTGGTGAAATTTTTTATTTTATTTATTTGTATGTGGTGCTGAGAATCGAACCCAATACCTCACATATGCTGGGCAAGCGCTCTACCACTGAGCCACAATCCCAGCCCCATATTTTTTGTATTTCTTTTTTGTATGTATGGAATATATACATAATAAAATTTTAAGCATTTTCAAGAATACACTTTGGTGTCAATAAGTAGATTCACATTATTATACAACAATCACCTTCATCCATCTCCAGAACTTTTTCATCTTCCCAAAGACAATCTACCCATTAACCAATAACTTCCTAATTCCTCCTTGACCCAACCCCTGACAACCACCATTCTACTTTCTGTCTTTATGAACTGCTAATCATATTATTTTCCTAAAAGGTTTCGGGACTTTCCCCCAAATCACCCAGCTGATTACTAGCATATAAAATTCAAAAGCATACATTTTAAAAGGAAAGCAGCACTCATCTATAGCCAGAATCACTAAGTCAAGCCAAATCATTTCCTTTTTTGCCTCAACACCCTACCTTGGTTTGTTGGGTTTCTGCAAGGTATTTATTTGAGAAAGTTTCTCATTATCTTTTAATGGATAAATGTATAAATTAGGGTCATATTTTAATGCAGTTAATTCCTAATAGGCTAAATAGTGTTGACCATAGATATTATCTTTCTCAAGGTACATCTATAATGGTATGGCCTAGAACTCGATTCTTGATCTTATCCTGTTCGATATTTTTTGATATGGCCATTTTATAGTCCAATGATGAAATCTGTAATATGATATAAAGAAAAGTATAATAGCTAGATCTGTTGGATCAAAGAATCCATGTTTAAAAGATTGAATCAAACTAAATACCATCTAATTCACAGTACTTTTATAGATACCTAGTTCTATACTTGTGTTTTAAATGACCCAAATTTTAAAAGTTTCTAAAATAAATAAAACTTAAATTAAATCAAAAGACTTAAACTAGTTTCTACAATGATTACAGAAAAAAAGTCATCAAGGAATGAAAAGAAAAAGCAAATTCATAAGGAAGCCGAGCATGGTGGTGCACACCTGTAATCCCAGCCGCTTGGGAGGCTGACACAGGAGGATCACAAGTTCAGAGCCAGTCTCAGCAACAGTAAGGCGCTAAAGCAATTCAGTGACAGCCTGTCTCTAAATAAAAAAATAAAAAATGGGGCTGGGGAGTGTGGCTCAGTGGTCAAGTGCCCCTGAGTTCAATCCCCATTAACCACCCCCCCCCCAAAAAAAAGTCATCAGGAAACAAGCAACAAGCTATGCAATCTCAAACTGCACTATTCTGGTGGGGAGATTATCATGTTCCATGCTACATCGATCAATTGCTCAGTTCCTTTTAACCAGCATTCACTGAGCACCATCTATGTGCCAGACCACACCTGAAATACTTTTTTTCTATTCTAAGTACAAAACTTGTATTTCATATTGACAAACATATTCAAGAGAAAATAATGAAGAAATTACGATTTCTAGAAAAGATTTTAGTTACAGCTGGACATGGTGGCTCAATTTGGGCAACTTTACAAATCCCTGTATCAAAATAAAAATAAAAAGGGCTGGGAATATAGTACAACAATAGATGAACCATGGGATCAATCCCCAGTACTGCAAAAAAAAAAAAAAAAAAAGGAAAAACAAAAACAAATTTTAGTTACAAATCATAAAAGCAATTCAGAAAAATGTAATCAAAGGATCATTATAACAATAATACCTAACATTGCTTAGTAGTTAGTATGTTTAGCACTTGTATCACTCTTCATGAAAGAACTTGCCAATAAGCTGCTAGGTATATAATTATACATGTCTCTAGCTGCAGTCCCTTCAGGATCCCCTGCTTTTAATCTGAAGTCATGTACTTCCTAGGCAGTCCCAGCCAACGACTGATCACAGCCCGAGTACTAAGGTCTGGCCATTTCTGTAATCTCAGAACTTCAGATAATTTTTGCTCTAAGAGTCTTCACTATGTTTTCAGATACTGTCCTAAGGCTCTCCCCGACAGTTCTGCCTCATCCTCCTTTCTTTTCACAGAAGTCCGCCCCTTTCACATAAACCTCTTGTATTCCTAACCTCTTTTATTCTTAGAAGCTATTTCCCAAATGACTCCAACTGACATGTTTGATACCACAAATGGATTAAGAATGCAGGAGGTAAGATGGAGCTTAGAAACTAGGTTATTTGCTATCCTACTGACAATGAGAATCTCATCCTAGTTGGGGATGTGAGGTACGGACAATCCTTGGCACAAGGTGGTGGCCTAAGTTTGAACTAATGCTTTCACAAGTTTTATGGAGAACAGTCCCAGTGAGAAACACTCTGACTAGTATAAAGATTCATGTGTCTGAAAAGTATAAGGAATACATAATATATACAACAACAATGGAATTGGTTAGCTGTTAGATTGCATTGACTCTTCAGAGAGGGCAGTTAACAAACAGTTGAAAACTAAATGTGAAGGCCAGAGGTCTCTTTGGAAGCCCACAAAGAGATCCTTATCATCTACAGTGGGAGAAAAGTAAAAGATGAAGAGCAAATTCAAGGTGATTAAAGACCCTTACTTCAAAGATAATGGAGCACTACACCAGGGCAAGTATCCACCAGGACAAGTATGTTATTATCAAGATCAGGTCTTACTTTAGAAAATCTAGAAGCCTCATAGATAGGATAGGGTCCTCTAAGATGGTTGTCCTCAAAGACTGCCATCCTCCAGACTCCTTTGAACCCTAAGAGTCTGCAAGAATGAGTTAGCACTCCCCATTATGCAGGAACACAATTCAGAGGCCTTTCAGCTATAAGGTAACTCCGGATTTGCCTCCATCTCTACTCCTGGCTGCCATGATAGTAGCTAATGCTAAATCTGTCAAGGACATGTTGGGCCTGAAATAGGAGAAAGTTACTATAAATCTCAAAGAAACTATAAGAATAAACCAGCAGATTGGAGGAATATCAGTGGTGCTAGATTTTGAGGGGACGCAGGAATATTAGACTAAGATAAAGTTTACTGAGGCAGTGGGGGCTGGGGCACTCAGAAAATGGAAATTAACACTGTGGCATGGACCTGGGGGTGGTATAAACTCACTGCTATGACGGTTCCTGAAAGCCCAGAAAAAATGATGGCACTGAATAGGATTGAAATGCCTGAACTGACATGGCAGAGAGTGGAGGATGGAATTAATAGGCTCAATAAATTGGGTATGGTAGAACGGATATATTATGTAAGGTCAGACCATTCACCAAGGTCATCAGGAATATACTGGTATGAGAGGCACCAACATTGCTAAGAAGTCCAGTGGTGTTTCTTCCCTAAAGGAAAAGTTGTCACAGAGCTTGTTTGGCTTATTGAAAGCAATAAAAATAGTGGGCATTGAAGCAACAATAGCCAGGTGGCAACATTTAAACACCAGAAACATTAGTGCATCAGTTATTTTTTTAATTTATTTATTTGTGCTAATTAGTTATACATGACAGCAGAATGCATTTCAATTCATAGTGCACAAATAGACCATAATTTTTAATTTCTCTGGTTGTACACAAAGTGTATCAATTATTATTATGACTGACAAGGTGGGAGACAGTCAACAAAGCTTGACCCTCAGGGAGCTGTAGATATAGTTAATGGAATAGTGTCATTAGGAGAAAAACAGTCAACAACAGTTCTGCTTATTATACACAATCAAAACAAGGCAAGAAAAAGCAGAAGACTAAGAATGACGGTCCCAGTAAAAAACCGCTAGCCCTTGCCCAATTCCTGGACCTGAGCCAGTTGTCAGATCCAGACCCACTGCCTTAACACATAGTGAGAAGAGAGAGAGACTCAGAACAGCATATCTGTCTGTCTATTACATCAATGAAATTGTGTTGATCTTGTTGAGGAGCAAGAAGTGGCTTACATGCTGAAGGGCTGGTAAGATATATGTGCTCCAAGTGGGGGGAACCCTACAATCATTCATCAGTATTGACAAGGGATTGGTTCCAGGATCCTGTCCCCCCATGGACACCAGAATCTATGGATACTCAAATTCCTTATATAAAATGGCATAGTTCTTGCTTATAAACTACACACATCCTCCTGATTTAAGTCATCTCTAGATTACTTATAATTCATACTGCAACGTATATGTAATGTTTGTTGTACTGTATTGATTAGGGAATAATGGCAAGAGAAAAGCCTGTACATGCATCAGTACAAATGCATTTTTTTCCAAATATTTCCAATCCATACTCAACTGAATCTGTAGATGTGGAATCCATGGACACATAAATTAGGACTCAGCCATTTAAGAGTCCAGTGGTCAGGTTCATGCCAATGCATACCTGCAAAGCACAAAGCAATCTTGTGCCCCCAACAAAAAAAGAATAAGTAGAAGAGCTAGAGATATGGCTCAGTGATAAAGCACTTGCCTAGCATGCACAAGGCCCTGGGTTCAATTCCCAGCATGGCAACAAAATAAATACATAAACAACCGGGCATACTAGTATACTCCTGTAAGTAATCCCAGCAGCTCAGGAGCCTGAGGCAGGAGGATCACAAGATCAAAGCCACCCTCAGCAAGTTGGTGAGACACTGTCTCAAAATAAAAAATATAAAAGGTCTGGGGATGTGAGTCAGTGGTTAAGGCCCCCTGGTACCAAACTTAAATACATAAATAAAAAGAGTGGCTTCTTCAGATTCTTTTATTTATAATTAATATTTTTAATGTGCAGAGTTTGTAATACAAGGGCAGAGATTCCTCTTGGATTCAAGTTTTTTACAAATTCTCAATGGGCTGGTGAGGCCAATAGGGATATTTCTTCTTGTCTAATTTGGTTTCTGGGAAGACTTCATTTAAGTCCTTAATGGTCATCTGATCAAATGGAATTATGTTCTTCATTTTCTCCAGCTGTTTCTCATATTCTTTAATCCTGGCCTTTGAGAGAGACACAAACTCAGCACAACTTTTTACATCTTCCTTTTCTTCAGCATCCTGTGCAATATATTTATCCTCTAGCAAAGGAATCTTTAGGGCATTAAACTTCTTTTCAAAGTCATCCACCAAGCCCGCCTTGGCAACATTGCCTTATAGTAAGCCCAGTCAATAGCTGGTGGTTTCTCAGGCAGAGTAGCCAACCTGGAGGTGAGGGTCTCATTCCAGGACTTCAGGGAGTTAGCAATAGTCTTTTGGTTTTGGGGAATGATCTCCCCAAAAGCTACCCAGTCAATGGTTTTTAGAGCAAGTTTGTGCCCAGCCATCTTGGGATCCTTCACCGACCCCAGGAGAGTGTGCTTCTTCAGATTCTAAAGGCAGCACATTCTATACACAGGATGCTACTGTGACCTATATATGAGGTGACACAAAAGGCTACCAGCTTTGAGTAGGGGAAACAACTGTGCAGCACCTCCAGACTGTATTACAACACTTAATTGTGGGAAAAGATGTGGTATAGGGCTGATAGCAAGCCCCAGTGGAAGAATTAAAATGCAGGACCCTAGAATTCTACAGAAAAGCCATGCTTAATCATGGGTACCATGTGTCCAGAACTTTTTGATAATGAGCTAACTATGATTCTCCCAGTCACAAAGCCAGATGAGCTCAGCAGTAACTCATTATAAAATGCAAATGGTGCATGAAAAATTGAACTTTCTGAAACAAAACCAAAGGCATAAGGAAGCTACATAAACAGATAGCCAAGACTTCCCTGACACCCACCACGGTTTTACCAGCACCCCTTCCTCAGCTCACATCCATAGCTGTTTAGGGGATCCTTTGGGATTAAAATGGGAGGGAAAAAAAAAAAGCAGAAGCTTGACTTATAAACAGATCAGCTCAGTATGTGAATATAAGCTGAAAATAAGCAACTCCAATATAGTCACACTTAAGGTTGACCTTGACAGTGAAATGAGAAAACCTTCCTAATAGAACTTTTAAGTGGTGCACCTGGTTATGATTTGTGTAGAAGAAAAGTATCCTGGCCACTCCCACTGGGGTCACAGGGTGGCAGAGACCCAGAAGGCGACACTCTGTACCCTTGCGAACATGGTGCTTCAAGTGGTGCCGAGGGCACTAGCTTCGGCCTGCAGCTTGCGCAGTCCCTGTGCCCGCAGCTCTCTGCCCGCCACAGCCCTGGTGGGTGAGGGCAGACACCGTTTGGACGCTGCTCACTGGCCTGCTCTGCTCTGTGTGTGTAAATTCACAGAGAAACATGAATGGATAACTACAGAAAATAGTATTGGAACAGTGGGAATCAGCAGTTTTGCACAGGAAGCTCTGTAGTCTGCGTGAAGTTGGGACAAAATTGAAAAAACAAGATGAGTTTGGTGCTTTGGAAAGCGTGAAAGCTGCCAGTGAACTCTATTCTCCTCTACCAGAAGTAACTGAAATTAATAAGGCACTTGCAGAAAACCCAGGGCTTGTGAACAAATCTTGTTGTGAAGATGGTTGGCTGATAAAGATGTCAGTGAGTGACCCTTCAGAACTAGATGACCTAGTGAAAAAAGAAGCATATGAGAAATATGTAAAAATCTATTGAGGAGTGAAAATGGCACCCTAAATAAACTAGTGTAAAATAACTTCGGCAGTTGTCTTAAGTTAGTGGTGGACAAAAGACTTAAAAACTACTCTCAACACTGCTACTGGAAGAAGATACCCCTTAACTTCCCAATGACTGCAGATAAACACAATATGCATCTTTTTTACAATTCCTTATGATTTTTAGAGTAGGCATTAGGTTAATATCAGAATTCATAAAATTACCTGTGGTAAAAACTACTTATAAAAAGTATATAATTCAAGGATAATCTTGTTATAAAGCCTAACAAAAAATTGTAACTTGCTTACATCCATCCCTGGATTTGGATCAATATACTTAATGATTTTCCATTGGAAAAACTGGGCATGGAGGAAAATGTATGTTGTACAGTGTCAGAAGAACACTACTGTCTTAATTTTATTATGTTCTGTATTTACTGGTGTTATTTTTAATACATTGAAACAACAGCTTGCAGCAAAATAACAAAATATTCAACTTCATAAAAAAAAGAGAAAGAAAGAAAAGTATCCTAGGGTAAGAATATATACAGACTCATGGACAATGCCAAATGAACTTGCCAACTGGTCAGAAACCTTTAAGGAAAAATAATGTGATAAGAGGGACCCGGAACAGTGGTGCACACCTGTAATCCCAGTGGAGGATCTCAAGTGAGAGGCCAGCCTCAGCAATTTTGCAAGATCCTCAGCTACTTAATGAGATCCTATCTCAAATTAAAATTTGAAAAACTGGGGATGTAGCTCAGTATAAAGCACCCTTGGGTCCAATCTCCGTAATCCCCACCAAAAAAAAAAAAAAAAAAAGTGCAACAGGTATGGGTAGAGGCAAATAAATACCTAGGGCTATGGAAATGTTATGTAAATTGTTGTTATTCTTTATTGTTTAGGGAAAAAGTACAAGAAAAAAAGCCTGTAAATGTTCAGTACAGATGCCCTTTTTTCCAAATATTTCCAATACACAATCAATTGAATATGGGAGTAACAAAGTATAAAAATCTGTTTTATATATTATGCCCACCAGAAAGCATCTGATGCAGAAAAGACACTGAACAAACAGACAAAATGATTCTGCTGACATATGCCATCCCAGAACTGGCATGATGAGGAAATGAACAGAGGTCACTCTGGCAGAAATAGAGATAAGGACAGAGAATAAAGGGTGGACTTCCATCTCCCAATCCTAATTCTGAATGTCCAACCTATGAGCAACAGAGACCAACATCAAGGCCCAAAAGACAAAAACCATAAATCAAGCAAATTGACTATACTGTGCCCCTTCTCAGAAGGGCCAGCAAATGATTCTCACTAGTACAGGTCACTTATTATAGATATGGATTTGCCTTTCCTGTCAATACAGTCCTAACTATCACCATGTACATGAGGGCTTTCATAGTACTTACTCTGGTTTGGATATGGTCTGATTGTGATTCCCAAAGTTTCATGGGTTGAAATTTAATCTTCACTGTGAGGTGTTAAGAGAAAGCAAATTTAATTCATCAAGGGGTGCTTACCAACGAGCCACATCCCCAGCCCTTTTTAATTTTTTGAGACAGGGCCTTGCTAAGTTGCTGAGGTTGGCTTTGAACTTTCCTCCTGCCTCAACCTCTCAAATTGCTGGGATTACAGGCATGTGCCATAACACTGAGCTAAAGGTAGTTTAACTAAAATTTGAAACCAAGCAGCCTGCTCCACTACATGTACTTTTAATCAATATGCTAGGGGGAGTATTAACTTGTCAACTTTAGACATTAGGATGAGACAATTATTTATTCTATATAGTTTCAGAATGCAAAACAACAAAATGGGGCTGGGGATGTGGCTCAAGCGGTAGCGAGCTCGCCTGGCATGCGTGTGGCCCAGGTTGGATCCTCAGCACCACATACCAACAAAGATGTTGTTTCCGCCGAGAACTAAAAAAAATAAATATTAAAAAATTCTCTCTCTCTCTCTCTCTCTCTCTCTCTCTCTCTCTCTCTCTCTCTCTCTCTCTCCTCTCTCACACTCTCTTTAAAAAAAAAATGACAGATACTAGAGGAAAGCAAAATTTTTGCCAAACATAAAAGAAAACTTTCTAACGACAGTAAACAACAACAAAATGATATTCTTCAGGAAATAATCAGGGCCTATCAACCAAGAGTCAAATGTTCATTAAAATTGTGAGAATGAAGTAGATAAAAGTTGACCTACATCAGTAAAACGCAAATTACTAAGTACCATGTTTGGGGGAAAAAGAATGCCAGGGCCAAATAAGTTTGGGTTAATATATAGCTGAACAAAGTTAAACAACTCTCTTAATTTTTACTCTGTCTTTAAAATATTAATGTGTATTTGCAAATCTGTACTTGATCTATATAGAATGGTGAAAGCCCAAACTTATGTGACTAAAGAACATTTCTTTGCACCTAGGGAATACACTAGAAATCCTGGCCTAGGACAATATCTTTCCAAAGTCAAGATTCAGTAATCCAAGGATTCCAGAAGAAACTAATAAAGGATAATAATTTTCTAGCTTTCCAGAAAGTCTAAACATTACCCATCTCTAATACTATTAGTATCTCTAATACCTTGAGAGTAGAAAAGCTATATAAAAGCTTTGTCATCAAAACTCACTTTATCCTTTCTGAATGCAAAATGTTCCTTCCTTTGTTTTATAAATAAACTCTGAAGATCTACAAGTAATAGGGCCACATTTTAATTACTAAATGTTCATGTTGTGACCAGCAGGAGAGCTTTAATTATTTCAAGTGTGCTATTTATGACCTTGTTATTTTCATGTAACACAGCTCCAGATATATTTTTTCTCAAACATATGTACACTTATCACAAGAAAAAACAGAAGAAAGGGTTGCATCTTTTGTGTAGCCTTATGTGTCACCTCATATATGGGCCACAGTAGCATCCTGTGTATAGAATGTGCTGCCTTTAGAATCTGAAGAAGCCCACTCTTTATTTATGTATGTATATATGTATGTATGTATGTACGTATGTATTTATGTTTGGTACCAGGGGGCCTTAACCACTGAGCAACATCCCCAGACCTTTTATATTTTTTATTTTGAGACAGTATCTCACCAACTTGCTGAGGGTGGCTTTGATCTTGTGATCCTCCTGCCTCAGGCTCCTGAAGCATTAGCTACAGAAAGAAGGGGCCCCCAATCACAAACTAATTTCAGAGTTTCAGGGGTTTTATTCAGAAATATATTATCTTTATTGATTACAAGGAAAACTTTTACGTAAATTATAATCTCTTGGTCTTGGATTTCCCACCTTCCTCAGCCACCACTGTCCACAATTCCTCATTTCATCTATGATAGTTCATCACCAGTGACTGGAGTCACCTACATGCCATCTATCTTTTCACCTGGTTCTCCTTTAGAATATGAAATATAATATTAAATGCATAAGGGCCTTGCTATCTGATCTACCACTAATTTTCAGATCACAAAACTGAGATTCAGATCAATTTTTATATTTATGAAGTAATAGCAAATGAAACATTTATCAACTTCAAAAATACCAGTATATGAAAGCAGAAAGTCCCAAAATATATACAATACATACATACCCAACTTTTTTCTTATACAAAATGCTATGCCAATAGCATACTTCCAAGGCAAATATCCACCAAAGTCAAAAAACTAATTTGTACTCTCCCAATATGAATACTTCCTGAAGCACCACAGAAAACCAGTAGATAAAACAAACACAGACACATGGGAAGATTCACAAGAGGAAAAAATGTAGACTGTAT